TTTCTGCTAAAAAAAACTATATTAGTACTAACATATGCCTCAGTATATAATATTATTAATGTACATTTGATCGCATTAAACTATTTGTCTTTGAATGACTTTATGGGAAGTGTAATATCATTAATGAGTAATTTACTTGAAACCATGGATGGGTTTGTTTAATAACATGCTTGACATTCATGGGCAAAACTTGTCATTGGATAAGGAATGACAAAGGGGGGCAATGCCCTAAACTTTGTTTATATATTTATAATTTTTATTATTTTATTTTTTTATATTTAAATTTAATAATTAATTGAATATTTTTAAATATATAAACATTATGATAAAATAAATATGTAAAATTAGTCTATTTTAAATAGTTATCAAATAAATTTTTTTAAATTATTTTTTTCCTAAAAAAATATCTTAAAAACTTTAATCTTGTTATTAAAAAAAATTCCTTGAATTCTTATTATTAATATTTGTCATTGTTTGATGTAATTGTGTCATCTCGTGTTCTTAAAAAATTATAAAAACTATTTGAGATTATCGTTTTTTTTGGTGAATTTTTTTAAATACACTTATTAAAAAGGATTGCCTCTTTTCAATAATTTAATTATTTTACAACCAATAAATTCACTAAAAATTGATGCATGCATAATAATTATACTATAATATGAATGTATTATTTGTAAAACCTAATAATCAGATATTGAAAAGTAATTTACTATGAAATATATGATAATAATTATAATTATAAACCATTTTAAAAATAAATTTTGATATTTGGTATCTTTTTAACACTAATTTAAATTTATTAAATGTTGTTTAATTGTGTCCAGAAAAAGTTATAAAATATTTTTTAAACACAAAATATATCTCTTGAACATAAATTTTGTATGATTAAAAAAATGAACAACTTAGAATTATCCAAAGTTCTTATTAAAGAAAAATAGTTCATTTTCATTAAAATCAATTAAATTAAAAAAAAGCATGATAATACGTATTTTTTTAATAAACTTAATATTTACGATAAAAATGAAAATGGAAATAAAAATCATTTTCTAACATCAATTGAATATTATTACCATTAAATTAACAAATATATATATACATTTGATTAAGGAATAAATACACTAATAAAAAAATATCAACATGTATTAAAAAATATTATAATAATTACAAGAAAAAAAATTGAATTTAAATTTTATATAAAAAAATATTTAGATAAAAAAATATTAAGAATATAAGATTGAACTTTTACTAACTTTTTTGTTGTATGATAAGTTTATTGAATTTTATGTAAATGACTGCTTTAAATGTTATATTTAAATAATTTATTACATATTATTATTATTTATTAATTTTAAAAAATATATTATTTAGTTAAATTAAACTATGAGTTTAACTATCAAAAATAAAAGTCAAGAGACCATATATGTTATTTTTTATCTTAATTTATAAAACAAACTTAATTTTTATATTTTTATTTTGATTTCACATGAATGTTTATATAAAAAAGAAATGGAACTTAAACTGTTTTTGAAGAGTGGGAGAAAAAAATAGTTACTTGGTTTGATTAGTTTTTGAAAGGGAAAGGTTGATGATGCGTAGACTTGAAAGAAGAGGGGAAGAGTGTTGTGGGTGAAGATTAGATCCAACGGTGAAGGTCATTTTGAATTGATTTTTAAAAGAAAATTATGACTCATATAATTAAAATAATCCACATGTTATCTGAATCACATAGTTTTAATAATAATAAAAAATTAATTGTGATAGATGATAGATTAACATTTTAATCGAATCTTACAAAATATCAAAAAAGTATATTATCTTAAATGATTAAAAACACAATAAAAATATATAATTTTATAAAATAGGAACAAAATGCACTAAAACGCATAACTGTAACAAAATCTCTTATCACCCCAAAATTATCTCATTTATTTTTATAATAATTTTGTTTTTTTTAATAAAAAATATAATAGATTTTAATTAAGAGTTATCGTTATTATTTGTTGATCTAATTAATTTTGTTTATTAAAATTTATTGATATTTTATGAGTAATTTAACATTTTCAGCGATTTAGTAAAAAAAAACTTATAATTATTGTTATTATTTATTAAAAATCATATAACTTATTTAGATTTGATAATAGATTTGAAATAATAGAATAAAAAAAATTGAAATAAATAAAATAAAAAGATAGGATGTCTAGATTAATAAATGAAATAAAGTAAATAAATGAGAAATTTATAATTAATTAAAAAGAATAGAAATATAATATTTATATAATTTAAGGAATTCTCAAAATATTTAAAATTAAAATTTAATAAAATAAATATGAATAAAAATAAAAATTATTAAATATACTGTTTATTTAAATTTATAATATTATCTATTTTTTACTTATTATTAAATAATTTTATTATGAAAATTAAACTAATTATTTTATCATTATTATTATTATTATTTATTTTATTATTTATTATAAAAACCGAAAAAAAAAACATTACATGATCTATTATAGAAATATATAATCCTTGTGAATTCCTAAAATACTAAAATGAAGACTTTCATTTTTTATAATTCAAACTGACTTTTTTTTGTACTTTTGTAAATGTCACCTATCTTTCTAGTTTTTTTTTGTCCTCAATTTTTTTTTTTAAGTTTAAACTCTTTTTTTTTTTCTGATTTTATTTCTACACACATCAACAAAACACAAGCAAGAATGTTTACAGTACTTTATTCTCAAAACATTTTTCATTCCCTTTGCATAAAAGCAAATAAAGGTTTACAGATTTTCCCCACTTAACAAAAAATTGGATATAAATCCGGTTTCTTGAAATAAAGTAAATATTAAAATGAAAACTTAAATTATGACTTTTCTTTTTAAGAAACAATGAATATTAAATGTAACATCTAATATTTTTCATCAATGAATTATATTAAGATACAACAATGCACTTAATTTTCACATAAAATATATAATATTGAAATACATTATTATTCTATATTTGCATGGCAACTTTTATTTACAAATTGTGGTGTTTTTTTTTTATTTTTTTTATCAAACTTACAACACAATGGTATGTTATTATTATCTATTATTTAATAATGTTATTTGATCTCAAAATGAATTATATTTCATTAAAATTATAAGAGTGTGTTGTTTAACTTATCATGAAAACTATTTTTTTATTTTATTTAAATTAACACTAATTGAGGATGTAATTTTAGTTGATGATTTAATATATTTAATTGAATAATTAATTTTCAAAAAATATTAATTTAAAATGTTAAAACATAAGAAATCTAGACTGACCATGTTAGGCATAGTTGACATATACATAAATTTTGTTAATTTGATAATTTATTTTATTTCAATCAATTTTTCAATTAGATATTATTATATAGTATTGTTTTATTATTGTTTTCTGCAAATTGGAAGAACATTAAATATTTACAATTTTCTATTATTGTAAGATTTTCAAAACAAACAAATTATACATAATTATATTAAATAAATTAATCTGTGTTTTTATTATAAAACAATCTCATGATAATTTTCTCTATTTTATTACAAGCAACTTATCATATATTAAATAACTCATAAACGTATAACATTTCTAAGCATGAGCATGAACTACATTATCCTCTTGTCTTTATTTATTTATTAATCTTTAAACTTTGATAGATTAAACATAATTTGTTACAAAATTGAAAATAAACACATATATATATATATATATATATATATATATATATATATTTAACAATAATTTATTATTATAAATAATTCATTTATCATAGTTTGACAAATATGAATAAATTATTACAATAACTAAAATTTGTTATGAAAAATAAATATATGTTATGTCAATAATAATAATAATAATATTATTATTATTTTTGTTATATTCTTCTACTTTCTTATTCTCTATTTTTTTTTCCTCTTTCTACACAGATCATTTACATTCATGACTTTTAAAGAAAATTAATTATATTTTCATTCACTAGTCTATTTTCTTGTTTATTTAGTAATATAGACTTTTATATCTTCAAAGAATTTAAATAAGATTTCGTTTTGGAAAAACTATTAAAATGCATGAGATTTTTTTGCATAAATGGTGTTTGAGTGACTATATCTTATAAATCACAATTTGTGAAATGTTATATCAGTCAAGTCTCTAATTTGTATAGTATAACATTTGTCAGGTCTTTTATAGCACTATGTATATATATATATATATATAAAATAATGTAAACTTTTTCTTAAGTATTGTAATATGAATATAATTTTTTTAAAACAACATTAAAAATATTTTGTCCATTAAATATGTATATTCATAATAACACTTTTATTAATCTTTATTTTAATTGATTATTTCACTATTAAATATATCAAAACATATTAATATTTACAGTATATTTTATAATTTATGAGGTAAGAAGATAAGTAAGTCTATTGAAGTTTAGATTAATAAATACTTCAAAAATCATAGTTGATACATAATAATAATAATAATAGTATCAATTGAATGATTAAAAACAAAAAGTATTAAATTTTTTTTAATTTTAACTGATAAAATTTATATTTTTATTTCATAAGATATTAGTGTTCGTACAAAAAATTGAAAAAAAAAAAGTTATTGGATTGGAGAAAGGTAATGGGCCTAGGTTATTTAAAGGGTGAAAAAAAGAGGGGAAGAGTGTCGTATATGAAGATTAGATCCAATGGTGGAGGCCCGGGTCGGCGCATGGCAATGGAATCGAATTGAATTGAATTTCTCTCTCCTCCGATTCCTCCTTCCTCATCTCAGCAAGCGACGCACCTAGTTACAGCACTCCCCCTCAAATCCTACCCCCTTTTTTAATTTTTTTTCATTTTATTTTTCATTTAAAATTGCAATTCTCCTTTTTTATTTATAAAAAAAAGGGGAAGTAATTTTAGGAGGGGGGAGCGATCCCCTGAACACGAAAATTGAAATCTAAATCTACAACACCACAACACAAAATGGCATTTCACATAGCTTGTCCAATTACATGGTAATGCTCTATGCTATGCTAATGCTAATGCTAAGCTCTCTCTCTCCACCCCTCTCTCCCTCTCTCTATTTCTATCCCCTCGTCTCTTCTCTTCTGTTCGATTTCAATAACCAGTCTCTATTTATATTCACACTCTTCCCCTTTTCGTTTCTTTTGCGTTTTGCGCTGTGTTCTTTTGCAGTCGTCGAATCTGTTTCTGCGCGCTAGGGTTTCCGCGCGCGCTTCATGACCCCGACGACGCCAATGGCTTCGCTCAAGACGTCGCCGCGCTCCGAGACTTCCTCGCCGACACGCGCAGGGACGACGCCACCGTACAGGTCCCCGTCCCCAAGGTTCTGCCTCCGCCTCCGCCGCCGCCTGACGGTCTTCCTCTCAACGCCGACGCGCTCGATGAGTCTGCCTCCATGAAGGCCAAGCGCATCGCGCTCCAGCGCAAGGGCGCCGCCGCAATGATAGCGGCCGAGGAGTACGCGCGCCGCTTTGAGTCCGGCGACGTGGTGGTGAGCCTTCTCTTCAATTTTTACTACGAGTGTTTGCCGTTGGTGCTCTCTGTTTGGTGGAATTTAATTTCGTTGTTTCGTGTTAAATGTTTATTTTAGCTCACTGCTTTTGGAATTTTGATCTTGAATGCATGGTTTGAAAGACGAGCTGGAGTTGTCACTTTACGGATTGTTATGATTTTTTCATCTACGTTGCATCGAGCTATGAGTGTCATTGTTGTTGTTGTGTATGTAGTGCGCTAGCTTGGGTGTAGAAGTGATTTTAATTGTGTGGTATTTTTTTTTTTTTTTTTTTTTTATGATGTGTCTTAATACAAGTGATGTGACTCTACTGGTTTGTTTTAGCAGAATACCCCAGGAAATGTTACCGGAGAGGAGCAGGGGCAAGCCAATAGGAGCTATTGTCGAATTTGCAAGTGCGGGGAAAATGAGGGAAGTGAGAAAGCTCAGAAGATGCTGTCATGCAAAAGTTGTAGTAAAAAGTACCACAGGAACTGCTTGAGAAGTTGGGGTCGAAATAGAGGTAAGAAAGTGTATTTGCCCAGGTGTATGTTAATGTGGTGTAAGTGCTGTATATTCTCACGTTATGGGTTCTTTTTGGTAGATTTATTTCATTGGAGTTCATGGACCTGTCCTCTATGCCGAATTTGCGAGGTAAGGAGTGGTGTGTGTGGGCTTCTACTTTTTCATGTATTGTTTGTTGTGGAGGCTCATGTTAGTTGCTAAAATGGTTGCTAGCTTGGTAATTGATTATACACTCATATAGCTATCCATTTTGCAAAGTATGTTTGTATTTCCCTCCCTAGAATGAAGCAGCAATGCTGTAACACTAGTGGTTGTTCATCTTAGTTCCTTGATTATGTGATTTGCATATCATATACTTCTGAAATTGTAGCTTGACTTGAAAATTGATATTTATTTGATTTTTTTGGCAGTATTAGATGGAGTCTAAGAGTTTCATGTTTAATTGAATGAAATAGGACACAGCTTTATTTACTGATTGGGAAAGTTTCTATTTGTATATGTTTTTTTAATTACAAGAAAGTCTTATTTTTTACTAGGTACAATCATTGTCTTTGGGATGACTGCTGTCATTTAGTTTCCTATGTATATTTTGATCTAGAAATTGAGGTGAATTTGTAGATTATGTCATTATGTGACTAATATAACCAAGGCATGTTTTTTTCACACTTTACTATGAACCTTGTAATAACCTGCTTTGTGTATGATCAAATAGTCAGTTGGTTTTAATGTCTTGTGGAGGGTTACAACCCTTCTAAACCACATCCTCTAAATATTACTGAAAGTAAGCTTAAGTGCTTAGAATAGCTTCTACTCATGTTCTTCACCTTGATGTTCCTTTGACAATGAAGAATTTGATAAGTACCCCAGCACTTAGGGAACCCACTCTCAAAACCTAGCTATTGAGGGGGGAAGAATCAAGCACTTGAAATACTACTCAATGAGGGACTCAGGCATAATACCCAAGTTCCTATCAGAATTTGAATGTCTTCATAGAAAGTTCCATATACAAGTTAATATTTTAGTGGAGTTCTGGTAGTCTTATGCTTAATTTCCTTCATCCAGGCTTGCAGAAGGACTGGTGATCCAAGTAAGTTCATGTTTTGCAAAAGGTGTGATGGTGCTTACCACTGTTATTGTTTGCAACCTCCTCACAAGGTAGAGTCTGTACTACTTACTAGTGAGCTTAAAATTGATTTTATACATATAATTTCATTTATTATTGTACATATTGCAGAGTGTTTGTAATGGGCCCTATTTGTGCACGAAACACGCAAGGTGTCACAGTTGTGGATCAAATGTCCCTGGAAATGGACTAAGTGTGAGGTAAGAATTCTGTATAATTTAGCTTTTGCTTTGATGCCTGGAGTTGCTAAGCTTAACATGGTTTCCGAGATTTATTATGAAAGAGCCCTTACTCTGTTGATGCCCATAGGAATGTTCTAAGGCGAAAACTAAGTTAGTTTTATAGTCAAAGCCCATCTCTTTTTTTTTTTTTTTTCAACTATTAACCTCTATTTTATTTGTAGCTATGTATTATCAATTGCCATGAAATGTTCTCTTGCTTGAAGTGTTTCAGAAATGATTAGTAGTGCTTTGTTTTTATTTTTAATTCATGAGTTTAATACTTTATCTTCCTCATCTTTGAATTATTTTACTGGAATTTCTTTTTCAAATGTCAGACATGTGCAATAGGCTACTGAATGTAATTTAATGTTTTTAAATGGCAGTTCACTCCTCCCTCACCTTGCATATTCAGCATATTTTTTATTTAGGGATGGACTTACCATATCTTTTTTTATTTCCTGAAAAGGTGGTTTATGGCATACACAAACTGTGATGCATGTGGAAGATTGTTCACAAAAGGGAACTACTGTCCTGTTTGTTTGAAGGTTAGCATCTCAACTAATCTTCCTTTCTTGAATGGTTTGCAGAATAGAATACAACCCTGCATCATTGGGGGATGTACCTAGAACAATCTTGAAGGAAATTTCTTTATATCTCTGTGTGTGTATTAATTTTGCGTAGAACTTATTTGCAGCTTTTCATATTTCATTTATGATATTATGAACTGTAATCCTAATTGAAAGACACTGCTTGTACACTCTCGTGCATGTGTGCTGGTTTTTCAAATATTGCCTTAAAGTGTGATTTAGGTTTGTACCAGGTCACTTATCCATCTGGCTTCCATCTCTAATATTATGCTGTACTTGTATCAATATAAGTTAATTTCATCTTGGCCTCTCTTCCTTATCTCTTTTTGCACCCTGAATACAAGGTTATATGTAGAAAAAGTAAACAACGAGGGCAAAACAGGAGCTCTTAATGTTCACTGTATGTTTTTGGACTTATTTTGTAGGTTTACAGAGATTCAGAATCAACACCTATGGTTTGTTGTGATACTTGCCAGCTCTGGGTTCATTGCCAATGTGATAATATCAGGTTAGTTTTACCCCTCATTTGTGAAGTTGGACTGCTTTCAATCTTCCATGTATCACGAGCACTGTTTTTATGCTCAATTCTGGAACGTGTGCTGAGGAACATTCTGCTGTTTTATTATGTTGTAAACATTGATTACATTTTAGTTTTACTTCTTGATCCTAACTCTTTAATGCTTGGTGAATTAGTATTTGGGGTTTTAATCATGCAACTGTGTATCTGGAATGGAAGGTATTGAGTAGTTTACTCATGCAATTGAAATTAAACATTTTGACAGTTCTAAATCTCCTTTTGAGATACTTTCTTATATTTTTACAGATTAGTTTCTATGAATATTTGTCTGTTTCTAGTTTTATTATTAAATCATTATTCATCATTTTTGTTTCAATGATTGAGCTTATTGATTTGTCCTGGCCTAGTTTATGATCATGACTTCATGGGACACTGTCTGTTTTGACAATGACATATGTAGCCTCTTGTTTTTGAATAAATGTTTTGCAGTGATGAAAAATATCACCATTTTCAAGTGGATGGGAATTTGCAATATAAATGTCCCACCTGTCGTGGTGAATGTTATCAGGTATGCAATATATGCCTTAAATATATAATTAATTTTTGTTCCCCATGGAAAAGCTCTTTGAGATGAACAATCGTTGATCTTTTACTCTCCGCATTCAACTTGTATGATCTGTATACTTCAGGTCAAGAATCCTGAAGATGCTGCACAAGAAATTTGGAGGAGACGGAATGTTGCTGAGAGAGATTTGATTGCTAGCTTGAGAGCTGCTGCTGGTTTGCCAACTCAAGAAGAGATATTTTCTATTTCACCATTTTCAGATGATGAGGATAGTGGGCCTTTGAAATTAAAGAGTGAATCTACCCGTTCCTTTAAGTTCTCTCTGAAGAATTTGTCCAATGACTCACCAAAGAAGAAATCTTCAAGCAAAAAGACTATGAAGAAAAAAGATTCCGAGTCATTTATGATTAGTAAAATCGACACACACAATAGTTTTGAAGGACATAGTGATATTAAATCTTTGCATAGCTTAGATGATGATAAGAATGATGATATACAATCCCAGAGAAATGATGGTCCAGATGTTCACTCATCACCTGCTACTGGAAGCTTGAGTCAGACTGAAGCATCTTGCCCTAGTAATCAACCAGGGATTTTGAAACATAAGTTTGTTGATGAGGTAATGGTCAGTGATGAAGAGAGGAAACCTAGAGTTGTTCGAATTAAAAACAACAAGGCACATATTATGGATAGTGAAGAGGAAAGTGGAAAACAGAGTGTTAAAACTCAGAATGTGAAAGGGAAGAAGTTGGTTATAAATTTGGGAGCACGGAAAATTAATGTGGCCAGCTCCCCACGTTCTGATACTTCAAGCTGCCAAAAAGATCAAGATCTGGTGACTATTAATGGTATACATCTTTCTATCTTTATTTTGTTTCCTGTGTGACTATATTTGATTGCTTGAGAAATAGTAATTGTGGTTTGATTTTTTGAAAGTGGTCTATGACTAATTTTTCGGTCAATTGTTCTTTCTCTCGTTGAACGTTTTATACATTATCCGAGAGAAAACTTTTAATTATCCTGTCAAATAATTACTACTGTGCAATGAAAATTACAGTAATTGTTTATTTGTATCTGCTTTCTGTGTATATATGCATGTGTTCTGTCTCTTTCCCCTTTCATTTTTGTGTGATTTTTCCTGTTCATATTTTCTTTCAGGAAATGAAGATATAAGCCAATGCAGGAAGGGAGACAAAATTGCATTAGATAGACAAGAAGGCACAGCTAGGCATATTGACGGTAAAGGTATACCCCCCAAACACACCACAGTTATTTTATAAGATTATAAGATGACAATTTGTCTTATGTTTACTTAAGTTGTCTTGAATAGAAACTGACCCGATGTTCATGTGATCTTCAGGAAATAGAGTTGATTCTGGTCAATCAAAAGTTTTCAAGGTTTCAGGAAGAGAAGGAAATTTGATTAAGCTGGGAAAAGTTAAGCCTGATGTTTCTGAATTGAACCTGGCCGCAGGTAGAGGCAATATGTCTGATGGGCGGATGAAACATAGTATTGATGAAATGATTGGTCATGTTGGAATGAAAGCTACATCAAGAGGTGAAAGGACGTATTTGGGGAAGCAATCGGAAGGTAGCTCTGATGCGAATGATGAGACAGATGACAATAATAATGGAACACCTTCGCATTCTTTGCCTAAAGATTCCAAACCTTTACTAAGATTTAAATTCAAGAAACCCAGCATTGAAACTCAAAATTCTCCTCATCGGGAGGAGGAGAAGATGACAATCAAGGGCCAGAGGTCAAAAAGGAAGAGACCTTCACCTTTTAAAACATCATTTAATGAGTCTGAAGGTGTAAGTCAATCACATCAAGACAGTGGAATGGATGAGATCATGGATGCAAACTGGATTTTGATGAAATTGGGCAATGATGCAATTGGAAAGAGAGTTGAAGTTCATCAGACATCGGACAATTCTTGGTTAGTGCCTTTGTGACTTCTTGCTAATTTTGCTGAGTGATGGGGGGAAAGCTAATTATTAAATAATATAAGCATGCGAAGGATGATGCATCACTCATATTTGGTTTTTTATTAAAGGAAGTTTGTTTCAATAACATGTATTTTTTCCCCAAAATTTCACTTTCAAATATATTACACTTTAAGGTATCTTGACCTTCACATATTTGTTCAGGCACAAGGGTGTGGTTACTGACGTAGTTGAAGGTACTTCGAAGTTATTTGTTGCATTAGACGATGGGAAAGTGAAGACCCTGGAACTCAGGAAACAGGGGGTCCGATTTGTTCCTCAAAAGCAGAAGAGATCCAAGACATGAACCTACGCTTGTCCACCCTTAGTGATCATTTAATGTGGAGACTTTTCTTAATTGACTCTGAAGATTTTTCATCTTTGAGGCCACTTACTGAATTTATATTTGTAGCTGCTCACATTGCCGCTGATTTTTGGGTGAAGCATTCTCGATTGGAGCAAACATCAGTTTTCTTGAAAGAATTAACCATTTACCTCAGTTCTCTCTCGCGAATTAGATTTTTGTTGTTTTTCTACATGTATCTGATTTCAAAGTAGATTCTACCTGTGATGTATAGGTCACCATTTCTGTAGAATAGATAAGTAAAGGCGGAGGTGTTAACTGTATTATTAGTGTTGCTAGTTGTTTTGTGAATTCAAGGGTTCATGAATTGAGATATTTGTCTTGAAAGCTGAAACTATTGTTATCTTGCAAGTTCAGAGATAATTGTCATAAACTTGAGCTGATGTTAAATTTGAAAGTTGTTTAGTGTAAGGAAAAGGACAGCAAACTAACTGGAACCCAATGAGGTTTAGGGACGGTGAAGAGAAATGACAACGCTGGTGCAATGATTCAGAGGGCCTGCCTATAGAAGTGGAATGCTTGTTGTTGCAACTCACACATGGTGGCACGGAACCTACATTCTAATGCACAATAATGACAATCAAGTATTTTGTTCCGTCAAGATAAACATTAATTCCATTTTAATACACAAGACTGAGAAGTATTTTGTTGTATTGAGATAAAAACTAGTTCAGCTGAATGTAGTTTTTATCCGAACACATCCTAAGTACCTTGTTAATGTTCCTATTGCACAAGATCGAACATGCTGTCAGTCGTGCATGACTCCTTGGTGATAAATGGATACTAGGAGAGTGCAGCTAGTATTAGACTAGATTTGGAATAGTTAATCATATCACTCTAGTAATTAATTATAAATAATTATAATCGAAATAGCTTTTTGATAAGGTAGTGAAAAAACAAATGAAATTTTAAAATTTCAGCTGCTATTGATGATAAGTTATATGCAGGGCGGCTTAGCAGTTTCTCGACTCTTTGTTTACATGTACTTCTGCTGCCTTAACCTGACAAATATGACCTGTTTATGTCATTTCTAATTTTAATATTACTCTTTTGCATAAAGTACTGATGAAATTTATAACTATTAGGAAGATAAAAATATTTTTGCGCAGTTCTTTTAATCACGTGTACTAGTCATTTCTAATTTTAAATTATTTATTGTTCGATTACGTGAAAACTTTGTATGTTATTTTTAGAATATCGTATCACTCACTGCATCCTCCATATTATATTATATTTATTATTAGTTTTTTTTTTAATTATTATAGGATAATTGATGGCCAATGTAAAAATTTGTAAATTAATAATGCATTAACATTAAATTTCAACCCCTACTATGTAAAATGACCTCCTAACCCCCTTTAAGAACTCTTCCTTATTAGTACTCTTTCTTTCTGTGAGCCCTTTCATTTTTTCTCGTACACATATAACATAAACTAGTTTATACTAATAGATGAAGAGATTTCTATCTCCATCACTACTTTTCGAGTACACATTTTATTATATAATTTTACCTTTTATTTTTATGTTATGATATTTTATTATCTTAAAAAAATATGAACACAGTTGTAAAATAAAAAAATATATTATACAATGAAGACATGTTTATCTAATAGTGTTATCACATGTAATTGAGTTTTTATGTGAAAAAAAAGTTCACCCATACATAACAGTCTATTGTGGGGGTATTTTTGTCAACATAAATAATACCAATCTTTTGGGTTAAAGTAGAGGTGTCGAGCAACGTTGAAATGAGCTTTGGGTTAATTTTGGAGGAGAAACCATTTTGGGCTTGGCCTGTTTCGAGTGATGATATTAATAGGTGCAGTATTTGATTTGAAATGTGGCGAGAGTGAGGGAAGAAGCATAGACATCACATAGAGAGAAGAACTGAAGCGATGAATGCCCCAGATCGTTACGAGCGTTTCGTCGTCCCTGAAGGCACTAAAAAGTAACTAACTATAATCGCAATTCTTCTCTTTCTTCCTTCCATTTTCATTTCCACTTTCTGATTCTCATTTTTTTTTTCAATTTAAAAAATAGGGTCTCGTACGAGAGGGACACCAAGATCATCAATGCTGCGTCCTTCACCGTCGAACGAGAGGAGCACACCATCGGCAACATCCTTCGCATGTAAACCCCTTTCTCCTTAGTTTTGATTTTTACTCAATCGCAGCAAAACCCTAACTTGTGATTGCTGTTGTTGTTGGCGATGGATGGATGTTCAGGCAGCTCCACAGAGATCCCAACGTGTTATTTGCTGGATACAAGCTTCCCCATCCTCTTCAGTACAAAATTATTGTCAGGGTGAGTTAAAGTTTTTTCCTTATTACTGTTGCCTTACCCTCGTTTGAATACATTTTCCATTATATGACACAGGGTGTGAATGTGGTAGGACACTGTGTATGGCTTAAACATGAATTTTTTTAAGTAAGTCACAGCATGGCTATGATACAAAGTATAAAACTAAAATCAAAATTTGAATTGCAAGAGAGAATTTATATTTTAAATGAGCAGGAGTTATCTTTTACACTTGATAAAATGTTAAAAATGAAAGTTTATCTAATAGTTCAAAAAGTAAAAGCGACAAAATTATGTGATTAAAAATAATTTAAGTGTAAAAGCAGATTCTGACAGATTTTTCACAACATAATATGTGCAATATTTAGAAGTGCCTTTGCTATAGGTTTGATCCATTTGGTTTCCACAATCTGGCTCCATTTTAAAATTTTGATATGCGGGTATTGTAGTTTCTTTCTTATTTTCTAGGAACTGAGGAGTACCCATCTATTTTGTTTTCTATGTGAATTTAGAGTCTTTGAGTATTATCTTATCTGTATTGTTTGTTTTTGTTGCAGATACACACCACTAGCCAGTCTTCGCCAATGCAGGCATACAACCAGTCTATTAATGATCTGGACAGGGAACTTGATCATTTGAAGAATGCCTTCGAGGTAAAAGCGTCATTTTGTTCTTCTTCATGCAGTATATCTAAATTCTATGACCAGTTTACTCTCCTATTCCGGATCTCTTTTTAGTATTGAACAGATTATCAGTCATTACGACCACTCGATTATTGTTGATGCCATAGAAAGCATTCGTAGATTTTTGAAATTAGATTTGTATCATCTGTCACTTTGGTGTCTCTGATGCTTACTCTATGTTCAAATATTTTATTGCAGGCGGAGATGTTGAAGTTTTCAAGGGACTATTGATTGGATGGTGTTGCGTTACAAGTCATGGATATTGAGATAGCGAATTACTTCTGCTAAATGGAATTCAAATATATGGTTGTGTTGAAAGAATTTTTACAGTTGTAAACAATTGCGAACTTAACAAAACTGCATCAATAGGAGGAATTGCATTATATTATGTTACGTCAGCAATTATTAGTAAATATCTGTATGGATGTTATATAAAACGGACTTGGTGTGGAATTATTTACTGTGCCAAATATACTCTACCGAGGACTTCCGGTGACGTTTTCGGTTAAAATTATTTTGGTAAAAGATTTTTCGGAGAGTTTGACGGAATTGTTCTGAACGTGGTCTTATTCTGTGTAAAATTATGTTTCTACTTGTTATCTTATTGTCTTCCTCTTCCTGTAGTCTCTATTTAAGAATTAACGTTAATAGAAGCAACTGGTTCTAGGATTTATTCCACCAATGGACTCGTGTAGGGAGATATGTTTCTGAGGGGGTGGCCATTCGATTTGTTTTGATTTTCCTTTTGACTTGCTTTTCAGGCAAAATTTGTGGAATGCTTTTCCTACAAAGATTTTTAGTGCAAATGCACTCTGGCGTGCCCTTGGAGACATGATTGCTGAATGTACATTTTATTGATTGTAACATTCTGATTAACTCTATCAAGTTGTACATTTATCTATACAATTTTCACAATGGTTCTAGCAATTTTCTATACTCTGCTACTGTTTGCATCTATCCCTACACTACCTATCAATTTACATCTACTGCATGATAGAGAAGTCCTCGTCAAGGCCATCTAGTTCTCCTCTTAGTTTGTGTTGCTGGATAATCAACACAGAGACTGACTTTGAGAAGTCTGGTCCTGAAAGAACGTCCCCTATTGGTCCGAGTTCTGGACATTGTTGCCAGTCATTCATACCCTTTGTCAAGACAGAGTTTGCTCCACCTTCTCTTCCTACAATGACCAGTGAGTATTTCCCTTCAAATGATCTGAGAGTAGAGAAGGTCTCGGACGCATTTGCAAGATGCATCTCCAAATAAGAAATGCGACCTCCAACTATATGTTGTTCATAGAACTGCGCAAAGCATTCATCATCCAATCCCATCTCCTCCTCCTGCTCTGGAAGGCTGACCCTATAAGCCGCCAGTCTTGAAGATTCTGCACTGGTATCTACCAGGAATCTTATCACTGTCACTTTTACTCCCCGATGCCATGCTACACGACCCACATAAGCAAGTGCCTCTCTATCATCTTTTCCGCCAATGAATACTGCTGCTACTTTCAGTGATGGCTCAGTCCTTGATATTTTCCCAATGGACCCAAAACCTCTGTTCACTAGAATCCCCACCGAACAAGGAGAATTCTTTAATAACTGTTTTAACAAAATGTCTATTAGTGCAGAAACTAAAACCTGGCTGAGCTAATATTAAAAAGTATTTATTTCCCTGACAATGACATTACCTTTCGGTTCACATATCTGAAGGCTCGATTTCCACCGTCCAATTTTCCATCCGGACGCTGGTTCCTGTGGAATGGAAGTATAATGAGAGCAATCATCAATTCCTCCGCTAATACGCAGATATTCTGTGCCATGTTAGTGATTGTTGACACTGCCAATGTTCTTTTGAGAGTAATGCCATCGCCATCATTATCTACATAGGCTTGAAACGAGCTGGTTACTCGTTCTCTCATCTCTATCACTGCCCGGTCTTTTATAGTACTAGTATGTACTCCTTCGCCACTCTCCATTGTTGCTGTTATATGATCAGTTAATTCAATAATCTCTGCCACATATATCAGAATGCCAGGGTCTGATGGCCCTCTTGAGATCTCCATGAAGTTGATGGAAGCAGGAACGTTATCAAGTCCGTGAATGCACAAGAATATCCTTAGCTCACTTGATGGCTGCAGCAATTGGAGGGCGTTGCTGTGAGTGGGTGCCCTTTTCCTTGCACGTTTGATGATTTGTTTTACAACTACTGGGCAATGCACCACTGTTAAAAATATAGTTACTACCGACATAATGCCCGTGTGCGGAGAAGAGTTGGGGTTACAATGCAGCTGGTAGGTAATACAAGAGAAGGATAAACAAGTCATGAGATTATTTTCATTGCTAAGCATGATTTCTGTTAAAATTATGAAAAAAAAAAATTGACCCTCTTCTGCATGCATCTAATTCACTTGACAATTAGGCTCCCGAGACGTTGGATAAAGAATTAATAAATATCAAGTTTGTTGAAGATTACTATGGAGTTGCATTGGAAATTATTAAGGAGAAAGTTTTTTGTCCTGCTTTTTTCTAACAAATATAGGTCGAGTCTCTATGTGTAGTGCATGCATGATGCCATGCAAGAGTCAAGTGCTGCTTTTGTATTGGGTTTTGCCTCTCATCCTCATTCGGCAACCAAGTGGGATTGGGTTTTGCCTCCCCATCCACCAGGATTGTTGGATTTTGAAGTTTTCACTCTAGATATAATTCTGTTTTATATTATTTATAATAAATTAATTTTATTTTTATATATAAATAAATATTTATAATCTAATTATATTTTTTTATTATTAATCAAGTATATTTAATTATTTAATTTAATTTATTATTATTATTATTATTATATATTATAATACTATATTATAAATTAATTATTTTTAAGATGTCATTTTAAAATAATAAATATATAATATATAATTTATATACAAATATTTAACAAGTTAATTTTTATGTAACTAATGTAAAATAATTCAAGTTTTAATTATAAATTATTTTTTATTTTTTAAAAAATATATTATTTTTTTATTAAGATAAAATTTGATATATGATAAATATAAATAATAAAATATAGAAAATCTAATAAAATAAATTAAAAATAAAATAAAATTATATATTATTAAGATTGACGTAAAATATTTAGAGAAAGATAAAGAAGAAAAAATTTAATTTTGTATATTGAAAAAAATTAATTGAAGGAAGAAATTAAAAATAATACAAAGGAGTCAAACATAAAAAATAAAATAAAATAAAGAAGTGATTGGTTGAAGAGATTGAAAAAAAGATAAAAGATTGAAAAGTAGGAAAAAAAAAATAAAGAGGGTGAAATATAAAAAAAAAAAAAAGGCTAGGAGAAAAAAAAAGAATTATAGGATTTAAATTTAAATATCATCCATCCCGCTCCCAACTCTTTGAACCCAGTGAACTTAATTGTGATCCTAAGTGAAGTTGCATTTTGCATTGGTCTCATTACTCAGCCATACTTTTATACATAGATGATGTTGGCAGTTGAAATGAGTTGGAAATATGAACACAAAAACACACTCTTCAGTAGTAGAAATTTGAATTAAAGGGAAAGGGGGAAGTAATGGGTGGATAGGGAAATGAGGAAAATACTTGCCGCTTTGATTGCCATGTAGATTTGAAAATGGCCCTTGGTGATGAGGAGCAATCCGATTGCAATAGATTCGGGCCAGTGAAAGCCAAGGATTGCTCCAGAAATAAGTGTGCCACCAACTTTTCCTGCGACCACTATGAAGATGGGTATAAACAACTTTATCCAGGTGGTAGGGTTTCCAGGCTCGAATTTGGTAATATCAGCGACATAGCCCACCCACAAGAAGAATATGGGAAAGAATATGGTGGTCAAGAGGTAGTTGATTTTGCCGATAATCCATTTCGAAACTCTTCCCTCTCGGGGAAGACATATCCCTGTCATAAACGCACTCAGAACCGGACTATAGTCGTATAGAGTTGAGGGGGAACAAATCATGACCATGAAGGCAATTGACAATACCAGGTGTGACCCTTTCAAGGGTCTGCCTTCAGGGTTCTCATTGTTCACCCATGCCATGAAAATCGGCGACACTGACGCCGTGAACAGCGTCTGCAGCACCACCGCAACGCTCATTTCGATGCTGTTCTTCACCGTCCTCTGCCGCGTAGGGCCAATGCAGTATGTATCAGCTGGCATGAAAAGGTAGCCAATTGAGATAATCAATGAGCAGATGAAATCTGACTGCATTCCTGCTGCTATCACAAGCTTTCCAATGTCCGATTTTCCTATTTTGAGGGTGGTTATTACACGCGTTATTACTGGAGATGCTGAACTCGATATAAGAGCTGAGAGGGAGACGATGAATGCTATTCCATGTTGTTGTGTGAAGAAATGGATAAATGAGGTCATTAGAAGGGATATCACAAAGGTGCTGAATATTGCTGCGTAAGCAACTAGAGCATCCCTGGTTGGCTTTTTGAACAGTCCGTAGGGATCCATCTCTATACCCAAAGCAAACATGTAACACATCATGCCAAAATCCATGATAAATCCAAAGGTTCTGTTGAATTCATCCAATAGTTTACGTAAAAAAGGTATGTTCCCCATTACTATTCCTACCTGCAATGAGAAACTTTTCATCAGTTTTCTGCATGTTGTTGCATCTTGTTCATCACGAGAGGGAAGCACAAGAAACTAGCTTACAACTATGTCAGAAGTAATCCGAGGTTGTGAATAGGGCTTTAGAAGGAAATGCAAACCGTTGCATGCAATCACCATTACCATAAACACCAGGAAGTTTTTCGCTAATTGAAGAATGAGGTACCCTAGCTTTTCTGAACATTGGGTTACTGCTATTGCCATGGTGATCCAAGCCTGATTATCTATATATATTTATATATATGTATATTATGTATGCTAATTATTATGCTATTATCCTTTTCTTTTTCTTTAGCTTACCATTACGTAGGTACGTTCTCATCTTCGAGCCCGCCATTTTTCCTTCTCATTTTCGTTTTGTTGATGATGACTAATTGTCGCCAATTTTTTGCCAAAGTCTTTGGAAGAAGTGAGTGGTCGTGATTCATGGCTTGCTTTCAGGAGACAATGGAGGAACTCTCTCCCCAGTATGAGACATATGTAGACACTGCACGAGGATGCTATTTAACCGAAAATCATGGATTAATCACAAATTTTCTTTTAAATTTCCATCTCTAATTATTTCTACATTACACACTTTGTTGTCAATTAATTTTCATTACTTTGATATATTTATAGTTATAAACAATATTTTGAGTAACTTCAAATTAAAATTTAGTTGAATTAGCAAACAATTGAAATAAAATATTCCTTAAACGTAAATTATTCTATATCCATATTTTAAATAGGGTCTATTATTTCTTAGTTTTTCAATGTGAATTCATTTACTACATGGATGCATACGAATGAATATACTTTTTGTGACGCAAAATTTTGCTAGCAAAACGCTTTTATTCGTCACCTTTTCCTTCCTTTATACAAAAACTTTTGTTCACGATATAAACCTTCCAAATCTTCATTATCTCTAATATTTCTTTCAAAAATTCCTCGAGCCTTGACAATGACCTCCTTTCTTCATTTTACACTATGTCACCAATTTATTGAATCTACTTTGACTAAATGAAAGTTTTTTTTTTCTACACGCTTGCAATCATTATGCTTTATTTGAAAACGCATATTTTTTAACCAATACATATAGTAGGAAAATAATTAGAAACATTGTGACTTCTATGCAAAAAGAAAAATTAACTTGTGTTTTTTTTTAGTATTTAATTCTCTATTGTTGATAATTATTGTAATATTTTTATGTTGTTATTTATATATTAGTGACAAAGATAAAGTTTTATATTTGTCGTTAATTATTTTATTTTGAATATATAGAGCAGAAAACATGATTACTAAACAAAAAGTGATCAAAACATAAATCAATAGGTTTGTAGTTATACCACAAGAAAAATAGGTTTTATCCCCAGATAAAATTCGTCGATAAAGAGTAAATATTCATCAATAAAAAATATTGATGGATATTTTAGGTATGTCGAGCAGAAGAGATAATTGTTATCATATGTACTAATGAATATATCCACTAGTAATTATCGACAGACGTAATTATCGACGAATACGTCTGTCGATAATTACTAGTATCATTCTCTTTTTTGACTTCCCATAAAACTTGACCCAAAACTTGTAAAATTCAATCCATAAGCTATTTTCCAGTCACAATAGCTTCCCATCTCTATCAAATAATGTAAACACTAGTGCAAAAAGGGGCTTTTACGTCAGGTATTTAGGGCTTTTTACGTCGTATTTAAGTCCGACGTAAAAGCGGGAGACGTAAATTTACGTCGGACCCTTTTACCCGACGTAGATTTACGTCAGTTATGAAGATACGACGTAATTTTGCGTGGCATATACAATAAACAGACGTAAAAACCTTTTCAATTTAAAAAAAAAAACAGAAAATTTACGTCGCATACGGTATATACGACGTAAATTTACTGTCGCATATTGGTATATACGACGTAAATTTACGTCGCATATACCAATATGCGACGTAAATTTACGATCGCATATGGTATATGCGACGTAAATTTACGTCGCATATTGGTATATGCGACGATAAATTTACGTCGTATATACCAATATGCGACGTAAATTTCCTGTTTTTTTTAAATTGGGTTTATTTACTCTGTTTTACAACTAAAACCTGCAAAAATTACAACCAGGACAGTCAGAAGCAGTTTTCTTTTGCTAGTAAATTAAAAATATAATATTATATAATTCAAACTACATAATAAAACAAAATAATACAAACATACAAACTAAAAAATCTATTACAAACTAAGCTACCTATACAAACTAAGCTACCTATACAAACTAAACTAAACTACATAATACACACAATATAATATGAACAAGAACATAAAAAATAATGTACTAGAATTGTAGAACAAAAAATTTTGCCCATTGTTCTCTAATTTCTGTAATCTCAGATTCTGTAATGGAGATGGATCTTGAAATACCTGAAACATGAATTTGACTCTTGTAAGCATGCAACATGAATAAAGTTAAATAAACTTAACTAATGTTAAAAGTAATTACCTCCGTCCAAGAATCAATTAAACCCGCACAAACTATGGCTCTCATCCAATACATTACATAGTAACCACATTCAAACGAGTCAGTTTGCTTATTACACTGAAATGATGAAAAAAACATAATATTATTTTCAAAATTGAAATATAAACAATAATTATGGTATTCACTTATATAAATAAGTTTCTAACCTTAGGATAAATGAACTGCAATGTCTTTGTTCTAGGTTTTCCACTTAGAACATTAGTTCCAGACACGATTCTAAGTGAAAAAAGTCATATATTATTCAATATGTATTCACAATTTAAAAACATAATTAATGAATAAAAGATAAAGTTACCCTTGTAATAAGCTTTTCATTTCTTGACTCGGTTTCCGATGTAATGAACAAAACCATACCACAGTGTAATCCAGGGTATGATTACAATTAACTGCCAATGGGACCTACATTGTATGACATAAAAATTAGTTACAAAAATATAAATTAAAATACAAATCAAAATACTAACCCTTCAATGTATGGAGCCAAATATATATGTCTTCTTGAGTCACTCATCCATGTTTGCATATATTGTTGGATTCCAACCTTTGTATTTCCAGATTTTTGGATGGATTGAGGCTCAATAAATCAGTATACTTCGGATTTTTCTTGTTCCACACTCAAATTGTCAAGGTACCTAAAACAATTAATTATAAGTTGAATATAATTATTATAATCTTAGAAACATAAATGAAAATGACTTACATTGCCCACAATTGTATGATGGAAATGTTTAACATGCAATTTCCCCGAGCAATTTCTAAAGCATCGGGCAAGGAAATGTACAATGGAACACTGGAATTGTCAATTCCAAACACTCTAACATCCCATTGTATCGACACGGTCTCTTCCTCAACCGTGGTAATACGGCTAACAACATAGAGATGGGATCATCATCACATTCCGTCAGATCCTCATCAATAATAGGTTGCTTTTTATGCTTAGCACGACGCAAGTCCTCCTAAACAAATGATAACAATTAATTAAACATTTATATAATTATAATACTAGAAAAGAAGTAAATAGACAATATGTATATATATATATATATATATATATATATATATATATTACCTTGGTCTCGTGCCGATAGTGGCATAACCAAACGTCTTGGCCAAGCCAAGAATGTCCCGCTTGCCTGCCCACTAATTGAATCTCTTCATTAGGAAAAGGCACTGGAGCATTAGCATCATTAACTTCATCAACTACTACTCGTGTCCAGTCTGGCTGTAGAGGGACACCATGGATGGTTAAGCCACCCTCAAAAACTCGACCAACAGCCACTAGACGCGGGGGGTCATCTTCAACATATAACTCACACTGGTGTGATGCATCAGTCTGAGTATATTCTCCTGAAGGATCAACAGTAGTAGCAGCACAACTCCCTTTAGTGCTGACTCGAACAATATCATGTTCAATTGTTTGAGGTGTTCCTTGAGTCTGTTGCTGAGAGCGGGCGAGAGATTCAATTTTCTCATCAAACTCTTGCTGCAAGGATTGCCTTATTTGATTTAACTTTTCTTCAAACTGCATCTCCATTTTATGCAAGGCCTCCTGGCTGCAAGAGTCAGCAGTGGTCCTTCGTGATGTTGGACCAAAGTAATCACGAAGGCCCCAGGTTCCACCAGCACCACGCACACGTCCTGAGTAATCTGGTTTTCCTATGGCTGCTGCCAATATATCTTGTCGACCATGAGGAATAAATGATCCTTGGCTGGTCTGCTCAACTAAATCATCCTACAACACATTAACAATAATTAAGTCATACACTAACTTTCAAATTAAAATCAATTCAAATTGACATTATAACTTACGATTTTCTCGAGCAATGATTCGTGCGAACTCAGAAGTCATTTGTCCATCGATTTTGTCACGGGCTGCCTTCCACATCTGATAGCGAGGGGTGGAGATGCAAGGTCGGTAGAATCAACTCCTGCGACTCTTCTCTCGGATTTCATGAGACGTTGCTCCAATAATGCATACCCTCCTCGTGACAATACATGAGGTGCATCATTCAACCTCTGACGTTGTTGGGCGGCTTGTCTTTTATCCTGCCAAGAGGGTCCATTCGAGCTGGCACAAAACTGTAACCAATCCTCCTCACTAATTTGATACTTTAGACAGGGAGATTCATCTCGAAACTTTCCAAATACATACTCCCGTGTCAAGAAAGTCTTAAAGTCCCTCCATCTAATGGCAATGGAGGATAAAATCTTCTTCCTCATCACCTCAGATGTTAGGAACATCAAAATTTTGCTATGAAATGACCAATAAAT